GTCCTCCAGCAGTCTAAGCCTATAGCAGCAGAACTATAGAGATAGCTCAGGATAACCTAGAAGCTTTATCAAAAAGGAAAGTTTTAAATCTACCCTTAAAAGTAGACAGGGATTAATTAAAGGAACGACTAATAAATCTGCTTAGATAAAAATTGCTGTCATCTTACTTTAAACTGAAAAATTTCTTAGATTTTGGCAAAGACACGTCGACAAGCTATCACATTGCTATAATCGAAGGTTGTTTGTGTTTCCTCTGCAGCTGGACTGAATCCAAACATGAATGTAAACGGCATGGACGTTGGAGGCTTGTCCCTGAAGGAGCCCCCCCAGCCCCAGTCTCGCTTGTCCCAGTGGACACACACCAACTCCATGGACAACCTCTCTGGCAACTCTTCAAATCTGGAGAATAACTTTAATAATAAGCATGGTAGGTTAAAATAAATGAGACGCGCATGTTGCTCTGTTTGCGTACAGCAGAGACCGACAGGGTGCAGAATAGATTTAAATGTCAGGGTTAAAATTTGGACAGTTTATTTTAAATTACTGCCTCAGGGATTTGATCTGATGTAGCTTTTGACTTTGATTGGTCGTTTTTTTATTGCAGCTCTGGGGTTCACTTATTTTCCTCCCCAGTAAAGGCTTATGCAGCGTCTAACAGGTTATCCTCCAGTACTTAGCATCATTTATCTTATCCTCAGCTATACGGCTTCGGGAATTCGTCATCAGCTGCACAATGCATCTTGTGACAAAACGACCCAGAAGATAATAAATGCAGCGTTACTGTTGGAGCGGTGTGGTTTTATCAAATAATATGCTGTGCATGGGTTTGATGCACGGTGGGCGGAGCTACCCTATCCTTTCTTTGCCTGGAACAATGGCAGCGATATTTGCTGTGATCAGTGGGAATAAAGTAGTTAAAATATGTTTTTAAATGAGAAAGTCCTCCTGAAAACTTCATTTGTGCCGTCAGTTCATCCAGATTACCATCCTGCCTTTATATTGTTTATGTCTGAGCCGCTTGAACCCCCACATACCAGCGGTGCGCTGTGACTCCCCAGCAGCAGCTGCCTCAGGCTCAGTCGCCTTTTTCGGGGTTTTCCTCTACTGTTCACGGCGGATGGAAGGTGTTTTCCTCATACGTAATCCAAACTGCAGGCAGCAGGATAATAAAAGCCAACATATTCAGCCGGCAGGTTTCTACATTTTAAGGAGTGATCATAGCGCTCTGCATCAGCAGTGCTGTGTCTGACTCCCTGCCAGCTCCCAGATCAGCTTCTCTGATTGGTTGATGCAGCGCGTCCAGCAGCTAAAGTTCAATTTTTCCAACTCCAGCAGCTGCTGCTTCTGAAGCGCCTCAGATGCTCAGAAGCTCATGAGACGCTGTTTCAGCTGCTTAAAGACACACTTAATACTATCAGCGTTCTGATGGCATTTTACCAAAAGGATTTTTATCAAAAACATAATTAATGTGCACAAATAAGGAATAGTTGCATTAACCATACATGTAAGGGAAGTTTTATGGGGCCCCCAGGAACTTGGGTATTTTGTACTTTCAAAGGAAGTGCAATGTTACACTATTATAAAACATGCTGGGAAAAGTATGTGTACGTTGTTATACTGCAGGAGATCAGTGACTTGAAGCAGGTAAAATTACTTGTTATCTCTCTCAGTTTTGGAAGTTTAATTTAAAATCCAAATGTGAAGCTGATATTTTCTTTAATAATGGTTATAAAAACTTCTGAATCTTTTTACTGAATCACCTCTCCATCCATCAAGGTGCCATGTCTGCTGCCTCCACCCTCGGACCGCCTGGGAAGCCCCCCCAGCTGGAGGACTCGTACAGCCCTTACAATCTAATCTCCAACTCCGAGTCCCCCAGCAGTCCCCTGGTGCCCCCTGACAGCTGGGGCCAAGGAAAGAGCCCAAATGAAAAGATCTCAAATGGGGCCAATATCAACTGGCCTCCAGGTGAGGAGCAAATACACGCAACTAGAGCTTAGCTGTCTTTTTATTGAAATTAACCAATAATATCACCAAACCGAATAGAAAATAATAATAACAGAGCAAGCTTAGCGTGCAGGTTACTTCACCTGAAATGGTTGCACAATGACCTCCGACCCCTCCTTGGAAAGGTCTGAGCCTCTAGTTTCCAATGATGGCAGCCATTAGGGGGCGGGGCTAAAAATGCATACCTGTGATTGCATTACTGCTGCAGAGTCGCACACGTCAGGTGGAATTTTTAATCAAATTTTATTGATTACACAGCTATAAAACATAAAGTATTTGTGAAAAAATTTATTATGAAACATGTTTTAGAAATTTTAAAGCCCTATTTGAAAGGTGTGTGGATGAAACACCATGTGACTGTGTTTTGGCAATTTCTATAAATAGATAAACATGAGCGGGTGTCAGTTGGGTTCTGTTCCGGCCCGCCGGGGTGAAGGGGTTAAAGCCTCAACGCTCCAAATACTGGTCGCCCTGTTGTGAGTCGACAGATTGTTGGAAAAAACAAACGGAGTAAAAGCGTGTTTGCCTTCGATTTCCGTCTGTTTTACAGTTGCCATGATTCAGATGACTGAACACGGTGAATGGTGTCGTTTTTAAGCAGAGCTTGGTAGCATTTAGATGTGCTGCACTGAAGAGAGAAAATTCTGCATTTAAAGCTTAAAATCAGCTCATTCCAGATAACTTTATACCTTATGTCCTTTCCTGGAAGCTGTCTGGGTCTGCAGTCATTATGAACATAGTTTTTGTTCTGACGTCTCAATCCTTTATAATCAGGTGTCGGTTCTTTGCTGTTTCCTCAGAGTTCTGCCCAGGAGTCCCATGGAAGGGCCTTCAGAACATTGACCCTGAGAATGACCCCAACATGACCCCCGGCAGCGTCCCCAGCGGTCCCACCATCAACACCAACATCCACGACGTCAACCGTTACCTGCTGCGGGACCGTAACGGAGGTACGGAGCAAAGCTTCAGATAGTTGGCTCAGAAGCTGCAGTACGGCTGCGCAGTGGCCGCTTTATTCTGATTTGCTTTTATTACACTCCAGGTTTCAACATCCTTCCTATCTTCATGCATCACAATGATTTTCTCTTGTTGTTTGCTCACAACGCTGTGATCTCCACTACAATGCAGCCCTCTCCACAGCTTCTCTACTGCCAAATGGCCAATCTAGCTCTTTCAGTCTGTTGTCCTGTGAAGGAGGCATCGAGGTCCTCATCCAGTATTAGTCTCCCTTCCTCTAAGCCTTTCCCAAACCCCTAACATGTGTTTTCCTCTTACCTATAAAGACCAGAACACAATCAGATTTTGCGTCTGATCCAACAGAAAATTGTATCTTAGAGGTCGTTTTAGCATTTATTGAACGTCAATAGGGATGACTTCCTGCAGGGGGCAGTGTAGTTCCCACTGAGATAGAGCCCTGGTCTGTTTTAGTCGGACTACGCAGCAATTCAGCAGCAATTTAATGGGTCTGACAGGAAGAGAGACGCGGTTACAAAGTAAAACACGTCCGCTTTGGAGGAAAATACAAAATAACATCTGTTTATCACACGGAAAGAGTCGGTTTAAAGTTTTACTTCGCTTATATAGTAAGCAGGACAGCAGGGGTGGTTTTAGGAAAGTTGGGGCCCTAGGCAAAGACAGGCAGAGGGCCCTCTGAATTGAGAAGGTAACACATAAAACAGCGCCATTATCCAGATAGAGAAATGTTAATAGAATAGA